TATATATATATATATATATATATATATATATATAAACAATAAAATAGAAACTGCAAATTTCGCTTCTATATTAAACGTATAAAAATTGTGCGAATTTTCGGAAGAGTCAAATGAGATTCGCAGAAAAGAGAAGGTTATCACATTATGTGACTCTTAGAGCCGGTTTTTCAATGATAGTTTAAACTTAGATTTCAACTTAAACTCTGTTTAAACAAAACAAACGCATTGTTAGAATCCACTTGAATCCAAGTTTAAACTGTTATTGAAAAACCAGCCTTTATTCTTCCGGACGACGCGAGATTTCAAATTCTTTCGCAATAGGCAATCGGTCAATTTAAATATTAAGCGTCAGCAGTTGTCAGTCAAAAGATTCAGCCCTTTCCAGATATCAGAAGAATATTTCCCTTTTGATCGTCGTCGCATATCAAAGCGCGCAATTTCGTAATTTCAGCACGTTTGTGTCGCGCGCGATCGGCTCGATCGATCGCGCGTCCCCTTTGTAAATTTCGTAAAAGAGAAAAATACGCGCTGCGTATTGAAAAAACATCCGTAACTCATCATCCATACGTTTTGCATGCTGCAAAGGGAATTCTGGCGTAAAGGGGATCTCGATACACGCACACACGCAATACCCGTACGCTCTGCTCTACCTAACCTAACCTAACCACCTACCTTTTACCATGAAATTCGTGGCTCAGCGTTGGCGCCGAGCGACAGATCGATTATTACATGTTACATTAAATGACAACTAAATTGCACTAATACATTGCACACATTCTCCGCTGTTCTTTGGCATCTCTACGGGTTATGTGTATACTTCGTTAGTCGTAAGGAGGATGACGAGGAAGAAAAAAAGAGAGGAGGGAAAAGTCGGCCTGATGCGGATTTGTGTGAACATCGCGCAAAACGCTTTCTCGTCTCGCTCGTCTAGAGTTCGAGTTCGACTTCGAGTTTCAAGCTGATTTTTTCAAAGTAGCTTCACACAAATGGCGCGCGATAGACAGAAACGTCTCTCCGCTCGCTCGCTCGTTCTCTCTCTCTTTCTCTCTCTCTCTCTCTCTCTCTCTCTCTCTCTCTCTGTAATACGACTGATGGGATCATATTACTCACATCTTTGGAATAATTAATATAAAGTTCATATTAAGTTGTTACTTGAAACTTGTTTCAAGTGAGATTTTCAGACGTGAAATTAGAAATGTGAGCCTGAAATTAGAAATGTGAGCTTTCCAGTGGGATAGTGATTGCAAGTATAATATTGTCATACGATTTACCTGACACAAATTTAGATCTAACTCTGAAATAAAATCTGAATATCTCACGCGAGACAAATTTCAATGACTATTAACCTTTAGGCTGCCGGCATTTTTTCATTACAAAAGTGTTTTTTTTTTCTCAAAAATTTTTCTATGTAAGTAACATACATATGGCGTAGAATTTTGAGATTTGTGCAGAGCCACAAAAGTGGCTTTCCTGGTTTCTAAAGGTTAATACATGCCTTAGAGTCATTATGAAACGGAGAAAGGAAGAGAAAGAAAAAAAAAAAGAGAATGCGAGGGAGAAACTAGTTGTATTTTGCAATTGCTAATGCTGTCAACTTCGACTACTCGGATACTCCGGGTCTTTCGAGTTTTACACAGATACCCGTATACCCAGGTAGTTGAAATTGACAGTACCAGAGTAATTGCTTCCATGCACTTGGAACGTTTTCGTCAAATGCGAACGCTTCGAAAACGTCCCACGAATAAGACAACTTGTCATAAAAAATAATAATCAACAACTGCGAGAATGCACATGATAATCGCGACAAGTTCCTTCAATAAACTAAGTTCTGACGAAAAACAACAACGACAAGAGTTACATATATAGAGAAAACAATGTGATATATATATAATTAAATAAAATATATACAAATATATATATGCATAACAAACGTTCTCGCATAGCAAATTCAACTCGTTGTCGTTCCATAAATACCTCAATCCTCCGATTTGCTATTGTAAATATCAACGGTAAAGTTATCGTCGTACCGAATCTTCAGCTACTCGAGAATCGGACTCGAACCCCTTGCTCGCGTGTCTTCCCGTCAATTGTGGGCATTCACACGGTCCTAACGCGGCAACAACGGCAGCCGACGACTGTCATCTGTGCCACTCCATTATCATATAGCCGTCCATTCGTCCCGACTATTAACTCTCTCCTCTCTCTGTCTGTCTGTCTGTTTCTCGACATATATATAATTAATCCATCTCCTTTGAATACTGAATACGTGGCGGATTCTTCGCGGAGGCCCGTCTTATCAGATCGATCCGCCGTAATAGTAACTATATAGACCACCACGACAAAGGTCAGGCATATACACATTACAGACATATGCAGTTTTGATGTACCTAGGTAACAATAATCCGACGGATTATTCCGACGGTAATATCGGCTTCTCTATGCTGTCGCAAAGGGCAAGACACACGTGGAACGACGCGCTGTGACGTAATCAGGTCGAAAGTGACATGACGGCAACGGTGATGACGAGACTGCGCACGTCATCGTCACCAGCTGTTACAAATGTGCGGACACGATTGTTTAAAAGTCGCTCTCTCTGCTCGGCATTTCGTTTATCTTGTTTCCTGTCAAAATCACGGGTCGATATCCGTGATTGATATGCGCGAGGAAAATTTGGAAACTGATATTTATATCTAGATTTAACAAAAGAGACATCAGGAAATGATACTCACGGGGCTCGTAGGTCAGGGCAGCCTTCGTGTTTCTAAATAAGATCGAGAAAGAAGTCGCGAATGAGCCACCCGTTCCATGATCATCCTGACTCTTTCGACTGATCTAATTACGTCATCGCGTGCGCGTTCGACGTCGTTGCAGAAACTAGAAGATAACATATGATGCGCGATAATCTACAGCCTTTGGATTAGTGGTATAGGAATCCCCGTCTCTCGTGACGCTTCGTCGGGACGCGATGAAAATAAAACAGCGACCGGGTGGAGATTGCAATGGGCAAAAAAAAAGAAGGAGAAAGAGAGAGAGAGAAAAAATAAATGGAAATAATATTTACGGTGGCTGTTGGGAGACGGTGTTGACGTAATTGGGCCTTTGATTACGGTACTGAGAGGCCACCACGGCCTGGGGATTCGGGATTTGTCGGATACTGAGATTTGGTTTGATGACCTTCACCCGAAAGCCGGAGATGCGTTGATGCGGCTGAGGTATGCGCAGAGCGACCTTGTTGGCAGCGGCGGTGTTCATGGAGGCCAACGCGAGCGGCTCCACCTGACCCTTATCCGTCGAACAGTTGCCTAAGACGGACGTGGCAGCTTCCGAAAGGACTTCCTTCAAGCTCGCCTCCTTGCGATGATCCAGGTGCGTGGGACCTCGAATTATGGTTTCAGAGATTATGACGGGGTATGCCTTAGTGGTTGGTAACGATGAAGAGGATTTAGTCGAGAAGGAGGACGTGGATGATGAAGAAGAAGATGAAGTAGGCGGACTGCTGCTAGTAGTCAATGTGGCGGACAGATCAAGAACTTTGTTGTTGACGGTGCCGGCGCTGCTGAGGTCCAACGGCGTTTCGTACTTGGGAGTATTGGACATCAGCAGGCCGCTACTCGTCGCGAAGCCGGAGGGTTTCGCGACGCGCAACGGCGCCAACGGTGGTGGACCCTTTTTCTTTGGTGCAGTTGCGGGTAGAAGTGAGGGTATGGGATTGGCGGCACTTGCAGGGGTGTTTGCAGAAGTACCCATAGCAGTTGTGTTTGTCGCCGCAGGGAGTGGTGTGGAAATGGTTACGGAAGTGGTCGCAGGAGTAATTATAGTCGTGGGAGTGGTAAAAACAGGCAAAAGAGCGGGCGTAGGAGCGGTCGAACGAGCGGTCGTAGAAACGGCCGAAAGAACAGCCGCAAGACTGCTCACAGGAACAGTCGTAGAAGTAGTCGTAGGAATAGTCACGGAAGCGGTCGCAGAAACAGTCGCAGGGACGGATGACGATGTGCTGCCAACGCACGAACGTTCCTCGTTTGTCTTGGACATGATGCTCTTGAGGGCGTCGCGCATCTGTTTCTCCGCGAGCAGGCTCCGGACACGGTTGGCTTTGCTCTCGCGCAACTGCCTCTCCAGCTTCTCGCGATCCAGACTGTTCGTCTTGTCAGTGCTATATTGCGAGCGTTGCTTCGCCTTGTCGCGTAGCTCGGCGATAGCCTCGTTGACCGCGACCAGGCCCAACCTCCGTAAGATTTCCTGGTCTTTCTTCGGTTCCGATTCCGTTATTCTCTTCGTTCGATCCGACGATGCACTTTCATTTCTTGGTTCCTTTGTTTCTTTCACTTCTTTCGTTTCTTTTACTGCCTTCGCTTCTTTTACTTCTTTCGCTTCTTTTATCTTCTTTGTTTCTTTGACTTCTTTTATTTCTTTCACTTCTTCAACTATCTTCAGTATCTCAATTTCTAAAATTTCCTTCACCTTTGTCAGTTCTTTAACTTCCTTAACATCTTGGGTTCTTTTCATTTCTTTAGTTTCCTTATTTATCATTTGTTTAATTTCCTTCTCTTCTTTTACCTCCTTCGTCTCTTTCACCTCTGGTTTTATCTGATCTTTAGCTATGTCTTTGATTACGATTCGCTCGACGACAGTGTTTTCCTCGCTCTGTGCGATGCGCACGACTTCGTCGGGGATGCTATCGATGATTTCCTCGATCGTCTCCTCCATCTCTATCGTCTCCTCCTTGGTACTTGCTTCTTCACCGGCCTCCGAAGAATGGACTGGAGAATGGACTGGAGAATGGACTGGAGAATGTACTGGAGAATCAACTGGAGAATGGACTGGAGAATCGACTGGAGAATGGTCGGAGGGAGGAGAAATCGCCCGAGGAGAACGAACCGCCGTTGAGTGTTGCTGACTGAGAGCCTTAAGTTTCTCGCGCCTCACCGCTCGTAAGTGCGATAACCTATCCTTCGAACGTCCGCTCTCACCGCTACTATTGCCACCCCCACTGGAAGTGATCCTCGGGGGACGCGGCGTCAGTCTGACCTTCAGCTTCAGCAGATCTTCGCGCGGCGTCGTGGTGATCTCGGCGATTACCCGCTTGTTTCGTCGCTTGCGTCGCTTTCGATGCTCCACTCTACCCATGTGTTTGCTCCTCGTGCTTTCCTTCGAATGATGATGATGGTGGTGATGATGGTGATTTCTCGTTGAAATATTGGCGGGTGGTGGATCGGGAGTTCGCAAGACCGGCGTAACCTCGCAGCGCGGCTTCTTCGTCTTCGTCTCCTTGTCGCGATCTACGCTTGTCTCCAGATTGCGAGATAGATTTGTGTCGTTCTCCAGAGTCTGTCGAACTTCCACCTCCACTACTTCTGCTTCTGGCTCACGATTAGGCTTTGGACTAGGTGGCGGAGTCGGCGGTCTTTGTATGTTCTCGATAACCGGCTGGCTATCTTCTGCTACGTAGTTTGAAGCAACTTCCGATATCGAGAGCATTTCGTCCTTTCGCAACACCCGGTAGACCAGCTTCATCGGTTCTCTCTGTAACAAATGGGGCGTCGCGCTGCCTTTGATAACGTGCGCGAATCTGCGAGCTGTGAGAATACAACGCGTAACTCGATCTTAGCAAATACAAAGCGTAATTGGAGTTGTTCACTTATATTTCAGTAAGAAGCAGCACCTGAGACAAACGCGTATCAAATTGAACGACGAGTTTGCTTCTACGTTCGGTGTACACGGTTAACACAAATTTTTATACACGGTAAAGATACAATTCTTTACTACTAAATTAATTCCCCTTCTTATTAGAAATCGTTATTTTTATAATTTGACATTTTGCGGGAACACACGATTAAATGATACGATTAAATGATTTTCGGTTTTGACTTTCGCAGCCAATCTTTTATTGTATTAAAAACGAAAAAAGAACCTGTCCTTAAGGCGATACTAAAGAGAAGCGACGGATTATTTTTTGAAATTACATGCGATTTCGCCCATCCTTTTGTACCTTAACAATAAGCTGTAGACAACACGGTAAATTATATGACGAGGGATAAAGAACGGACATCCTATATGTGTTATATCATTACGTTCGATAATCGTATTTTACCAAACGGAAGCTAAGCCAAAGCATCGTCGCAAAGAAGAACATCAGTTGCCAGAGTCTCAAAATAGACATTTCTCTCTATAGAGACTCCTAATGTAGACCGCCCGCAGAGCGTGGGGTCCAATTGGTTCCAAGTCAATCCTATGATCGTAGACCAGTGCCGACGGACTTTCAACCGTACCTTCTATTCTTCCCCCGCCCATTTACACTCAAAGCATGCCTGGTCGCAAATGTCGACCAAAAGGTCCACACAATTTTACAATATTTTCCCGTTTTATGCTCGATTCAGGCTCGAGCAAGCAAAATCGTTATTCAATCCTCTATTACAATATTCAACGTTATTCAACGCTCTATTACATATTCCAAAATATACGCCAGCGGACATAATTATTCCGGCTCACTAAATTCACCAAATGTGTCCGATACGCATTAATGCAAAGGGTATAATAATGCAATAATTAAAGTCAAATAATAAAAAATAATAAAAAAAAAGATTAAAAAATATGGACTGAAACGTCAAAATATACTAAAAACATGTAAATGTATTCTTATCGTTAATGTAGACCTCTGTAACTGATACGCTGCCGGGGCGATCGATCGTGACGTACATACACGTTAAACCGAACGATTAAACTCACCCTCTTCCAGTGGAATATATATGCGAGGTCCAGGAGCGTCCAATAGGGACTGAGAAGATGTATCTCCTCCTCACGGCGACGTGATCCGAGACGACGGTACATGATTTCTATTCTGCTGACGCCGTTGACAGTTAACGAGTTAGTCTCTTCCCACCCTCTCTTCAGTATCAGCAGTCGCACCAAATGACGCACCGTGACGGCTGCTGGACACTTGAGGAATCGTGTTTTGCCGCCGCTTTGCGACGTCTCGTCGTTGACGCTGTTGTCATTCTTTGGGAGGCCCTCCGACAAGACGTTGCTGCGTTTCTTCACCACTCTATTCTGGCCCACTTCCCACTTGGTCTCGTCTAGCTCTTCCAGACTCAGACTGACAAAGTCGTCCAAAGTAAGATTGATGCCGCCGAGAGGAGGTGGCAACGGCGGGCATAGCGGATTCATCACCAGAAAATGACGTCGTCGTTGAAGCTCCGAGCGGAAGAGTCCAGGTACCACGAGGTATACCAGCCGTTGGAGACGCGTGTCCGGCAGGAGCGGCGGTGTGGTCTTCACGCCGCAAATCGGACACGCGCGGGCGCCGCTGTACAGTCGAACGATGCAGCCTCTGCAAACTGATGAACGACGACGATGCCGAGATGTGAGAGAAGAGCCACGACCGAGACACGAAGCGTATCGCTTATGTATTTATTGTAACAGAAACAACGGAGAAAGAACCGCGAAATGTTCCTTCTAGAACAATAGGAGAAGACCTGTGTTCGAAAAGACTGTTATTCTGAACATAGATTAAACATAAACTCGTGTTCTGCAAGGAACATTTTGCGATTCCTCTCTCAATATCTGCAATAAGCACATAAATTATTCCGACTTTTCACTCTTACAATAAATACACATACGACACGTAACCAACTCGACACGGTCTCGTCTACGACAATCGTGCTGAGCAACGGAGAGTTATACTAACAGGAGTGCAGACATTCCACGAGGGTTGTGGCGTCTATGAGATATCCACGGCACAACTGGCACATGATATGTTCGTTCAAGTCTTTGAGCAGCGGCTTCTCTCTCTCCGCGACTTCCATGCTACTAGCGGTGGTCTCTGAAACAGCTGTGCGAATAACTGGTCGTTAATCTGTCACCGACGAAACCACCGATCGGAGTACAAGACCGATATTAACAGGTGCTCGACGTTCTTTTAAGCTTCAACATCGTCCTGTCGTGGCGACCGACCGGTCTTCCTTTCTCGACGGTGCGCGCCGGTGCACTATCTATTCCGCGCCAGAGTTACGCGTGGACAATCGCGTTTCAGTGTTCGCGAAGCTCTCCGCGGACGAGCCTGACAATTCCGGGCTGCGCTGGCCTGGCGGGCGCGCAACGGCGCAGGCTCACGATGCGTTGCATCCTCGCTACTATCGCAGCGCCGAGGACCAGACGCCCGTTCGCGACATGACGACGGTACGCACATCTTTTACGCGTGCATCGCTGCACAATGTCGACGTGCGTACACGCGGCCAGCGTGGAGGAGTGTCCCGCGAGATCTGAGGGGAAACGCGGTAGCATGCCGGCGCTTTAAGGTCTATCTCTTAAAGGGGATGATTTCTCTACTCTCCCTCTCTACTCATCGATGCAAGAGAGCCGGCGAGATACTGTCGGATCGCCGGAAAGCACGCGCTCGTATGCGCAGGTGTGTATGTAGTAAAGTGGAGTAAAGTTATACCCTGCACTGAGAAAAGTTTTGGTGTCATTTTTGGTAAATAAGTAAATTTGTATAAAATTCTCAGTAAATTTTGATATAATTACAAAAATAAATAATTACCATAAATTATGATTAAGGAAACAATTTTTATTAAATTTTTTATTAAATTCTATTATAATGTTAGTGATAATAATCTTATATACAAATTACTGCTACCATTTTCGCGTTAGAACTACCAAAAAATATGGTTGGGAGTAAATATAATTATAATTTTAGTTAGATCAACCATTTTTTTCTCTCAGTGTGGGTTTAAAAACCTCTTAGAACCTACAGTAATAAAATGATCTATATGCGAAAGCAATAGAACAAAGTAGCCATACTTTAAACATGTATACATGTATTTGATACTGTAGACTATTTCAATTTGATAAATTAACAAATATGTGTGTGTGTGTATATATATATATCGTTCATGTCTCTCCTCTTTCTGTTTGGGAACAGCATCGGCCACGTTTTCTCGCACAACGACAACAGTATCGCGGGTGCTGGTAAAGCTGTCGCGGCCGGAGGAAAGAAAAAGCGGCAGCTCGCTCGAAAAATAACAGAACCTGTTCCGTCGAAAACCGCGTTCGGGACCGTGCGCTGCGCTGCAACGAGTTAATCAGCTGATCTTAGCGTGGAAAGTCGATAGACAGTCTCGTACGACTAACGTGAAGCAATTCGATGTCGAGAATAAAAATCGAATATCATGAAAATATTTGTCAAAGTAACAATTGAGCGGTCGCTGCTGACAGCTCTCGTATGAAACGCGATCAAGAGATACAATCACATTCTCGCAGAGAGGAAAGGCTGTATTGCTCGAAAAAAAATCAAAGGATCTCACGGCTATATTGTATTTTAGCTTTGCCACCGAACAAAACTAAAACCAAGTGATGGTGATTGAACTCCAAAGCGCTGGTGTGCCGCGAAAGTTCGCGGAGCGAATCGGTTTTGAACCGGGCTGGGGCGTTCCCGCTGGAACGGCAAAGTTCTCGATGGAACTGCAAACAGTCAACGTGCCATCCACTCGGTTGTGATGGCGCGGGGAGCGCGCGCGAGGGGGTTAATGAACCTTCGAAAACGAAAGTCGACCACCACCTGTGTCTGCGGTATGGCATGGAGCGGCGCGACGTATACGAATCCATGCGAAAGCGATTCCGGTCTGTGAATGATCCGCCAAGGCCGGCCGCGTGAGACCCGAAGAAGAGGGAGAGAGGGAGAGAGCAAGCACCTCTGCCTTGCCCCTCTACTCCCTCGCTCGCCGGAGAGAAGGAGAAGAAGAGAGATAGACAGATAGAGAGAGGAGAAGACACGGCCGCCAAGAGCAGAAAACGTTCGTCGCATGCCGTGACTCGTCGGAAATCGAGTCACGTGTCATCGCTCGCGCCGGATAAACAAACTGTCCGTGAGCTCGCGAGGTTAAACGGATTCGGATCGATTCCGACTTCTGTTCGCTCCTGTCTATCGCGAAAGGTCGAAGAAGACTACTCGCTCGTGAGAGAGTGACTCACATCGTGCTGGAACGCGCGTCTATTTTTCGACCGGCATAACGAGATCGGCATCCTCGACTTCCAGTATTGATCCATGTGTGAATATCGATCGGTAAATCGCACTCACGTTTGAATTATTCTTCGCGCGAAATCTCTAGCATGGTTTAACACTTTGTACTCGTGCACCTTCTCTCAGTCGTCGGGGCTAAAAGAAGATTAATTGTTTTCACTCGTAGAATATCGTATAACTGGAGGATGTATGTAGAGAAAATTGTAATGCGATCTTAAGACTCGAAAGAGTTCCCACTCTTCTTTTATATTCTGCACAAAAACAGATGAAAAAATTGATCACGAATCGGCTGATGTTGATCACACTGGCTATTGTTTGAAATTGTTAAAAGTGCTGAGAATTAGCACTTGTAATAACTGATACTTGCGGAGCATTCTTCTCTAACATTTTGCAATTTGTTACATGGAATATTTCTATTTTATATATTCGGTGTATTATTGGAAAAAGAAATTCTTAAATACGCTTGCACGCGAAAATTCGACGAGGCGTACGAGTTAAAATCTAAATAGCGAATATATCTCGCGTTACGATGTGTGACATTAGGAAAACATGTCAGAAAAGGAGTAGTATCGCGCGCCTTCCGTTAGAATACCCACTACGCGAGTCTAATGATCATCTTTATCTTTTTTACGTAGAAATATTTTCTGCGTTTGATATTATCACGGTTATAAATGGACGGTGTACCGAGCTTATCTGAAAGCGTCCATTTTTACGAGGAAGTTGCGAATCTGGTTGCGAGCAAGGTCACGTCGGCAACGGGCGTTTTAGAATTGAGAATAAAATTCCAAAACCCGGTGTCGATATGCATTCTATGTTTTTCCCTCCCAGAATAGTCTAACGTTTAAAATTCTTTATCGACGACGTTACTGTTACTATTGTCTGCTTGTTACGCGAAAATAGGAGCGGTTTGTATAAAAACACAAATCGATACCTCGCAATGGGATGCAAAATGAAACGGAAAGTTTGTAAGGGACTCGTCCGAGCACAAACTTTCAATTATGCAAAGCCACGAATATTTAGCCATGACTGTGTAGTGTTCTCGTATTCGTATGTAGCAATCGATGAGATGCTAATAACTTAACGTTAGAATAAAAATAAAACAAAGCCTTGAGTTACACACACATTATCACAAATATTGAAAATATAGTAATATAATTTCTGTTTCAATATAAAAAAGTGTGAGAGAGAGAGAGAAAGAGAGAGAGAGAGAGAGAGAGAGAGAGAGAACGCGCACAGAGTATATAATGTGAAACTCGTCTACACGATGCCTTGAAAATTTAGCTTATCATTTCCTTAATTAAGCGCGAATGCCGACTGAAACAATAAGCATATCTACTACTCCAAGGTCCGTACTAACAATTGTTACTTGAAACTTCTCTCAAGTGAGATGAAAGTTCTTTCAGTTGTGTCGTGATTCAACAGTCAACATATAATGTCAAAATTTGGACCTAATTCCGAATAAAAATCTGAGTATCTCACATGAGACAAGCCTCAAGTAACGACTGTTAATACGGACCTTAGTAATAGAGAAAGAATAAAGCGAGTGAGAGAAAGAGAGAGAAAAGGAAAGAGAGCGATCCACCTGTAGTGATTTTTATTCTCACGTGCATCGCGTAAGATCGAAGCAGTTTGTTTACGTTCCCGTGAGCCAGCGGTTGCGCTGTACCTTCGCCTCAATACGCATTTCGATCGGTTGCAACGGGATGTACCATCTCTACATATATCAGCCGCGCTTCACGTTCCATCGTTGCAACCCGACATTCGTAAATTATCACTCGCGATTACCACACGTCAGGCGTATCGCACCACGCACACATACGTACACTCTCTCCTCGTGCTCTCTTTCTCATGCTGCTTCCTTATCCCGAAATGTACAGGTCCGATTGATTGCGAGGTAGCCGATAACTCGTGCTTACATTCGAGGCGGCGTTCGCGGCGTCTTATCACCCGGAAAGATCCAGAAGTGATGGCCGAGGTTCGAGGTCGAGTGGCCTCTCAGGTGGGGGACCGTGCCTTTTATTTGACCGGGACATCACGGGCCTCCCTACTACCGTTACACAGCAGCGCGTAAAAGCACCACCGACACGACCGCGTATCATACATCGTACCACTGCGCGTCGCGTACCACTCCGATTCGCTCTCGCACGTACACGTATACACCGGCCGCTCTGTAGAGTGCAATATGCAAGCCAGCGACAGTAGCTTACCGGCGCAGTTAAGCTGAGAGGATGATAGTCGTCGTCGTCGTCGTCGTCGTCGTCGTCGTCGTCGTCGTCACCGTCGCCGTCGTCGTCGTTCCCGGCGGTGGAACGTAGCGGCGGACGTGGCAACGACGGTGCGACGGCGGCGGTGGCAGCGGCGGTGGCGGTGGAGGCGGCGGCGGTGGCAGCGGTGGCGGTGGCCGCGACCGCGGCCGCGAGGAGGTGGCAACGCCGCTCTGTCTGTCGGCGTGCGACGGCGCCCCGGCCCCGAGGCGTCCGATAGCGCTCGCTCGTAGTCGTCGCACTCGGCGTCGCTCTCCCGCTCGTCGTCGCGCACGACCTCGCGCTGAGTCCTCGTCTGGATAGATAGGCGCGCGGTGATAACCACGTAGCATCACGTCCCCGTGGCCGTCATGGCCAATGCGACGCAACACACACCGTACGTACGCACAAGCGTGCGTACGGCATGCGTGCGTGTGTACGTATGTTGCGACGCGCACTAGTAGTAGTAGTAATAGTAGTGTATAGAGTAGTCGTCTTCAAGTCGACTTGGACAACGCGCGCACGCGGTTTCTCGTCCTGCTTGGATCTATCGCCGCGTCGTGACCGCGTCGAGTCACGTTTTCCTCCTCGTCGTCGTTTCGCTTGCCCTTCGTCCTCTAGTCGACGTCGTCTGTCGATCGACCGACGGACCCGTACCGAGGGACGCACGAGAGCGAGAGAGAGCGAGAGAGAAAGCGGGAGAGAGAGAGAGCGAGAGAGAAAGAGAGCGCGCACTATACCGCGCTCGCGCACTCTCCACGATTCCCCTCTCGAGTTTCCACCCCGCCTGCTCTCCCTTCCTTATTATTATCGCGACTTTCGCGCGAGACCGTCGCGCCGCGATGTAACGTTACCGCGCTCCGACGACCGAGTCGTAGGAGCGCGAAGCAACGCGGCAGCAGGTTGATGATGAATACCGGGAGAGCGAAGGGGCAGCGGGGAGAGGGCGAGGCGACGACGGTGGCGGCGGTGGCGATAGCCAAGCGGTGATGATAGTCGCCGTGGTGTTTCGATACCGCGCGATTATGGGAACGACGACGACGACGATGTCGACGGCGACGCCGGAAACGCAAAGTTGCCTCGTATCGACCCCGCCTAAACCCCGCCTCGCTGTCACGGAATCGCACGAGCGACGCCGAGCGTCGACGGGCGTCGGCGAACGCTTCGTGTTCCTTTCGACGATTCTGTATCGCCGTCTCGCTCGTACCTAGTTTGCGCATCTTCGTCACTCCGCTTGTCTCTCTTTCTCTCTGTCTGTCTGTTCCCCGTCCCCGGCGGGAGCTCGCCGTTCCGTGTCTATATTGCTGTCCTACGCACCGATCGTGCGTTATGTTTTCCGTATCCTGTCGATTATTCGGGAAATTCACTCCGAAGAGGAGATGGCCCTGTTTGTCGTCGTTTTAGGTCACAACGCATCCGCCCACGATCTCCAGTCGCACAAGAACACTCCCGGTGCACCTGCGGGATCGATAGATTGTAAGATTGGCGAAAATACCGATGTAACGAGAGACAACGTCAGGTAGTCGCGAGTATCAGCAACGTTCTACGGGAGCCATTATGCTCCCGCGAGAATCTACCACCCGTATTTTATACAATTCGATTAACGACAACGCGTTGTTTCATAAGTGCGTTATTCGAGTCAGGGTTTGAAACTTGTAAATCATAACACACAATTATTATTGTTAAATATTAAATGCTTAATCTACAATGTGCTCTCTGCTTCCTGTTTCTTGTCCTCTATCTTTTTCTGGCTTAAGGCTTGAACTTTGAGTCAAAAAGAGATAAAGAAACAGGAAGCAAAGAACACATTGTATATCAAGCTCAAAAGATGTCACAGTGACATCTTATTAATACCTGTTTGACCCTTCACATAAAGAGGTCTTCATAGCTGTTTCTTTGATATTTCCATACATAGATATCGTCAATTATATACTGAATTCAAAAGCAGAGTTTCCATGCAGAAGTGACCTCGATTATGCGTGTAACACCAGGACTGTATAATTCCCGTTTTAAGAAATCACATTCTACACGGAAGAAGTCGTAAGATTTGAAATCGTTTTAGAACGCGCGCTCTGGCTAGAAACAATTCAATGATCGATATGACGCTAATGGGCATCGAGAAAGCGACCAGAGAATTGCAAAGGACCCGATGCTCTTAACCTTTAGGCTGCCGGCATTTTTTCATTAAAAAAGTGGTTTCTTTTTCTAAAAAATTTTTCTATATAAGTGACATACACATGGCACAAAATTTTTAGATTTGTGCAAAGTCACAAAAGTGGCTTTCCCGGCAGTCTAAAAGTTAAAAAGCTTCGGAAACGACTCGCTTCGAAGAAGATTGATGGAAATAAGCGTCAAACCTTTCACAATTGCCACACAATTGATGCATTATTTCTTTAAATTTACATATCGCCAATACCGCTCACCAATAATTGATTCATCGCGACGTACTGAGGAAATCTTATTAGCAGTGACGTGTTGTCGTCGACGACGATGTTATTAATAAAACATCGTTACGCGATAATATCGATCAGTGTGGAATGCGCGCTTCGTTTACAGACGACTTCATCTCCTTCTTCTCCGAGTACGCGCTAATGTACGTTAACGCGAGTGAAGACTCGTAGATCTTCACCGGCTCAATGAAAACGTGAAACTGCTTCACGACGATTCGGATAGTCGTCGAATCATCACATCTACGCGGCAAACAGATTCAATCGTCTCTTGCAACGTTATATTATAACGTCTAAGCTGAAAACGGACAGTAAGCGCGTCATTCAATTGTTATCTCAGCTTGACGAAAGTTAGAGGTAAAAATCCGTATTGTTCAAAGCACAAGAAATGCCGATAGAAAAAAAAGATTTCTCTACTACAAACAATTATAGTTTGTTGAAAATGTAACTAAAAATTTGTTGCTGCAACCGAATCATTTGCTATATCGACTCATAGCTAGATATACTTCTATTGACAGCTGCACGTTTGCACACAGAAAATACTGCATTCAAGTAAATGTTGCTTGTTTCAAGAATTTTACATATTGCAAATTTATTGCAAGTTTACCATATAAGCATAGAATATATTTCAAAATCCAACATTCTATATTCTAGCAAGTTTCAACCAGGAATATTAGATTAAAACAAAAAATCGGCCTACTCATTATACAGAGACGAACCAACTTTTTCTTCGATGAAATTTCACGATATTTTTGTAAAGAGAATGAATTCCTTTTCTTTTGAGCATATGATAATAAATTTTTTTTAAATTCCTGGTGAATATTATTATATTAAATAGTATTATTATTATATGAGAAAAGTATTATTATTATATAAGATTGTATTATCAAGAAAAAATATACTGTGTTAAATATAATCGCTATTTAAAAGAAGGAAAGCAGAATAATATTTTTTTTTGCGTGTAAGGAAATTTCATATGTTACAACGAGATTTAATCACTAACATACACAGATTTTTCTGCCGCAGTTTTTTTTACGATACGAACGATGCGGATCACGGTGATACGAGACGAGTGTAACAACGCGGCGCATTGGGGCGACGTACGATAATTAACAGAAACTCGGTCGCGTTGCGTGCAAACCAATGTAGGGCGAATGTCCGCAGCCGGTTATTATTCAAAGCGCCGATATAGAGCCGCGTTCTCGCGGCGTATCCATCGCGTTATTTCGCAGCGTTTGTTCCTCACCGCGAATGAATTTTTCAAACTGATGTTTGCCGAATCGCGTCGTCGACTGCGACTCAGCGGAACGATGTCGTTTAAATGATTATCACGTAATTAGGACTTCCGATATTTATTGACAGTATTGGCAGAGCTGCGAATGTCGTTCCGATATATGCAAAAATAAACTTCCAAAACTTTCATGTTTGACATCATAGATTTTGTTATCATTTTGTTATATTCGTGCTTTCGTTGCTGCGGCTCGAGTCGTTTCCGAAGCTTTTTAAAAGCTTCATCATCGGGCCCTTTGCAATTCTCTGGGCTGAGACGTTCGCAATAGAAAAAATGGCAACACCTATGGAAGAGTTGTGTCTTTAAACACAAAAGATAATAGAATATAAAATAAGTACTCGACTCTACGATAATAGAATATAAAATAAGTACTCGACCCTCGAACGCGTGCAATATTAGCGATTAATTGTAGCTTTCTCCATATTCTACTATCTCTATAATAAATTATAAATATCTAAAATTCAATAAAAATTTGATTATGTACGATGCTTTATGATATTGCCAGTTGCTGTAATACTCACAGCCTCGTTCCGTTTTCTCTGTTCATAATAGATCGACAATATATTTGCGAAAACGGAACACTTGTGTTAGCATACTGCGATGACATGACGCTTGCGATACAGCCATGAATATTGAAACACAACCTAGGTTCATTAAAAGAATTCGTTTGTGCCTTGCTTGCTCACTATCGCTTCATGTTCGTACAATGAAACGATATTGATTGTTGCTCTCGAAATGAAATTTCACTCGGAAAGTAGAGTGATAGCAGAGTCGCACAAATTCGAGTTCTTTTCACGCCTATAGAATGAATTCTCCACTCTAAATCATCGAGTGAACAGTTTATTTCAAAATTGAAAAATGCATCTGACGTTATCTCGCGATCTCTCTGAAGTCGATTAAAACACTCGCTTATACGGAAGTAGAAGATCCACTCACATCTTGGTGAAACATTCACCTCTTGCGGTTTCGAATAACAGTATCTTTGCTCAAGGCGATAGTGAAAATACTGCCACTAGTTTTGAGTGAGATTTCATTCCAGGAAATTTAGAGAGCACCCATACATAAAGTTAATCCAAACATAAAGCTGGCTGTGCCAAACAGATTCAACTGATCAGAGGCGTTTTCTCGTTTCGTGACTACGATACCGTTTAGTTGATTGGTCCACTTAATACTCGCAACGCCTCAAGCAACAGAGATAGAATGACACTCGCGGCGTTGCGAGCGTTAAGTGGACCAAACTAACCAACCAAACGCTACCGTGGTCACGAAACGAAAAAACGCCTATTTTTTTCAGATGCATTGCTGAACTGGTGCAATAAGTGAGACAAATATATTTCTTTTCATTCTAACTTATTGCATCAGTTTAGCAGTGCAGCTAAAAAGAACAAACCAAATATTGAATTTTCCTGATACAACTAGACGCGTAAGCTAGTATTTTCCGTGAAATTATGAAGTAGCACATGCAATTATAGCGGCAAATGCGATTCTCCCTGCGATTATAGCTTCCGGATAAGCGGCAGCTATCTCGCTGATGTCATCGTCAACTATTTCTCGGGATGTTTTATCACGGAATAAAATAATAACAAAAGATTACCACAGAAATGCTGCAGCGAGTTACATCAGGTTAGGCGGGAGTTAGGCTTAGAGGTTAGGGCGCAGCGAGCGACGCCATTTGGGCTGCGTTTGCCACGACTATTGCCTATTCTTAACACAGAAACTAATAGAATTTTTTAAGTGCGAACAATACGATGTAGCAAACAATATCGGTATGTCTTTCAATTGTCGTGTCATTGGAATTGAGTAGATGTGAGTAGACGGACTTACCAACCAACAGCTCCAGTATCTTCATGCAACCGTATAGGTTAGGTCGATCCGAAGATACTATATACGGAGGAATGATTTCATCAGTCGCATCGAGCGATTCATCAAGATGGCCGCTGCTTCTTTCTTGTAACTGAAACATCGAGATCCCGCGGATAAATACTCCTCGAAGGAGGGGAGTCGATGAACATAGATTTTCTTGGCAGACTCGCTTTCTCTGAGATAATCGTGGTGATGCTAAGAATACCGTATCTATGTTGACAAACAAGGAAGATCCTTCGGATAATGTTCACATAATGTTCACATAATGTTCACATAATGTTCGTCCGAAGCCAATAAGTCGGTATGTTTGAGATAAGGAATATGTTCAAAATATGCTCGTACGCTCCGGTTTTCGTCCGTGTACTACCCTTATAGAAATATCATACTAAGAATCATTGACAATTACTTATTATCCAGTATTTTTAATACTGAAAATAAGTAATTATCAATGATTCTTAGTATGATATTTCTATAAGGGTATCGTATGTCGCTAATGAAAAATAACAAAGATGAGAAACAGCGTATTCCACAAGATTGCCTCGTTGTTAAACTCCGTAAACAACCAAAGATCAAAAACTATTCACATGAACGATAAACACCTATTCGCGAATCGCTTAGGCAAGTCATACATGAAAATTACAAATCGCAGTTAAAGTAATGCAACAATTTCGTTCGCGTCTTGACGAAATGCAGTACGCTCTTCGATCCTCTTATCTGGATTGTGTTCTAAAACTACTCGACGGGTAGAGTAGCATTTAATTGACCAATCAGAAAAAAGAGAACTGAGATTTTCTTATCATGATTTGTTAATTGAATATTACTCTACCCATCGAGTAGGATTTTGGAACGTAATCCTGCGGTATACCGCATTAAGGAATTACATCATGGCTATCTTCAATTGTTCGATCACGCACCTGTTTTCGCGTCCTTTTTACCAGCTAATTGCGTATCGCGTATTTATATACCTTGAGCGAGAAGTAACGAGAAGCCAGGTCGCCACAGAGGAAGCCGGGACGAATCGTGAATGCAGAAGCAAACGAGAAGTGCTTCCGATATTCCTGCAGCACAGCGCACGGATGAAAAAGAGGAGGGCGAGAGAACGCGGAGGAGGAAGGGGAACCTGCAAAAGAGAAAGAGATAGAGGGCGAGCGTAGACATTGATCGATCGGCAACCTTGCCGCCGCCGCCACTGCCGTCGCGATAGCGTCGGCTCTGGATGCCGTGATCGGAACGGAGCGGCGCGCGCGCGCGCGCCACCTCGACCGGGCGTGCACGATTCTGTCCTATGAAAGCGCGTCAAGGCACGGCCTGCCCGTTAAAATGGCGCCGAGACCCGACCAGTGGCTCTGCCCATCACCGACGCGCAACTGCGACTCCGCCTGCTGTGTGCGCGCGCAAAGACGCGGCTGCGCGCCGTACAAGCTCTACGCTCTCGTTGGATATATCTCGCCGTTGAAGGAAGTCATCGATCACGTTCCTTCTTTCCGTCACTTCCTGACGACTGCTACAGCGACAGAAAGTTCGCGACACTTTTATTTCGATCAATTTCAGAACGCATCCGGCATCCAATAGCGAAATGTTATCTGGAAATTACTAAAAAGCAAGGGCTCCTATTGGACACGGGATGCGTTGCGAAACTTATCGAGAATAAAGAATGCACTGCTGAATCGATATCGAACGGGTCATGCAATCGAGATTACCGTCGCCCTATGGCTACGTATCGGGAAAGTGGTTTCGCTTACATCCGACCAATGAGAACAAAGCCTCGCTCGCGGAATCCCGACGCAGGACATGATGCCGTCGGAACGAAGTCCGATATTTTCCTTGGAATCATTGTGATGTCATATTTCGCCGAGAAATTCGCCGACTCGACGGTTTACGGCGCTGCATATGGCCGCTATCTCGATTCACGCGAACGCGGTCTCTTTGTCTCCCTCTGATCTTTACCGTGGCTTACGTAATTGGTGGATTTGTCGGCCGGATTAAATCCGGTTTGGGAGATAGAGAGAAGGGGCGAAAGAGGCATAAAAATGAGAAGGGGTCGAGGGGAAGAATGCGTGGAATTAGAGGGGAAGATCCCTTCTGGTTTAGTAGGCTGGATTTAGTAGGCTGTGAACAATGAGAAACAGAGGGGAGCCGACTATAGGGAGAGACTAATAGCAATAATACTAATAATAACCATAGCAATAATAAAAATAAATACTTTGAACTTCTGATTCTGAGAAGCGTATTTGAGCGAAAAGAGCGAATAAAGTAACCGTTTTAGTAATAATAATGCACATGCATTATTGTATACATATAATGATTTTATAATACAAAAATAAGTAATGTTCCTAATTATACACTCTCTCGGGTAACAAACATATTAATAAATAGTTTTCATTAGAGTAATAAATTAAACGTTGTATGTTTGTCAATATATTTAAATATAGATCGATATTTAAATAAATTCGAAAAATTTACTAAGAGTACTCTTAGTTTCATGAATTATCAATTTCATATTAATTCAATTAAATTTACAAAATTGTTAAACTATATAGAATATTTTTATATTTTGTTAGTAAATATAAAAATTGTACGTTACAATTAATATATATATATCATGTCAAAATAAATATCGATTTCTAAGAACAAATCTCTAGTTTAAATCTTTTGTGGAATTTTCTACTCTAAAAATACTCTCAGATTTTATATTCTTCGAGACATTCTCAAATTATGCGATTGCGATTGTGCGACGTTAAAATGATTTTTTCATATGCGTTACGATAACCCGTTGATATGAGGAAGTACGAAATTAACGTTTTGGAATTATACGGGACGCGCGGCTTTTTTGGTATCAAAAGATTTAATGCTTAATTATATATCTTACACTGAGATTTGCTATACAAATATTTTTATGTAAAATTTATTTACCAATTATTAACTTAAAATTGATAATACTAATTACTACAACTTATTTATACAAACTCTAGATTAATTTAAATTAGAGAGGATAATTCAATAGCACATCCTGTCTCGCCAATTCCAGCAACATAGGATCGTCGAAGAACTTGTTGATGGAGACGTCCTCGGACAGACCTTTGCGCCTTCGCGTCTTCAACATGAACTCTCTAGCCAGATGAGTAGCTGGCTGAGGTTCTAGCGGTCTGATAGTGATGCTCTTGTCCAGAGGATCACCGGGTACGATCTGCCAATGATGAAATACGGACAGACAAAACGCTTGTCCCTGAGTATGCGTTCGTAGATCCGTCTCAAAACCGAAACTATCGATCGCTGGTATAAATGCCTTGATAGTGTATAAAGGACTGCCCGGTACCGGTGCATCTTGTGTGACGTGACCACGACGTTTTGCCAGGACCGTATAAACAGCAGATACGCAGTCTGCTGGCGCTTGCACCTCAACGAATAGATAGGGCTCCATTAGACGTGGGGTAGCCATCAGGAACGCCGAGTAAGCTACCCGTCGGGCAGTGGGAATGATCTGACCGCCTGAGAACGAGATCAAGAATATGCGCGCGTTGAATAGAAGCGTATTAAATATTTGTGCCGCCAAAATATATTGTTATATATAATATTATAATATTATATTATATATATTTTATATTATATATGCAGGATATTCGACGCAAAGTGCCTCGTGTCTATATATAGATTACATCATTGAATATAATATTTCTCTATTACTTCGCAAACAATCATATAAAGTTTTAAGTTATTAGTTTTAAGTTATTGAAGAAAATTGGCAAATAATTATTTGCGATATGTCAGATGAGTTATGATAACGAAGCCTACAATCGTGTGTTTGTAGATTAGATCAAACTGAATAAAAATATTCTGTGTGTATGTGTGTGTACCATTTTATAAATAACCACGTAGATATTTTGGAGTTATTAATTAAAGAAAATTGGCGAATGATCGCGCGCGATAATGCACCAATGTTCTTTAGTTAATAACTTACTTTGATGCTTTCATCAAATTCTTTTTCCAAATTCAGCATATGTACTTTATATTAACGATATTATTTATATTATTTATATTCTTCGTTATTACGATACCAGTAATGAAGTAATTACCTCCACGATGTAACGGTTCCTGTGCGATGACTGCGTCAAGGATTTTGAATTTCACATTCCGGATGGGTTCCTCGCACAACGGTCCCTCTCGCGTTCCCCACTGGAAACCTTGGATGATAGCGTCACGTGCACTGTTCAACAATGTCTTGTCCACCTCGGAAGGCAGAGTGTCGTCTACTAAAATATTAGGTCCTGTGGAATCTGGGCCGAAGGCCCATATGCTACGAGCTGCTAATAAATCCCAGTCGTATTTCGTTTGGAAAAACTCTCCGAGCCTCTTTCTGAAAGAAGTCAAGTCGTTTATGTAATGCTGGTCGAGATCATCGCATGTATCGGGATCGTAATAACGACTAGATCACTTACTTGTTCCACGTGATACGGACGTGTTCGGCTTCTATATCCTCCGCGAGTCCTCTCTCCAAAGGCTCCGCTATCATCGTCAGCTTGTTCCGTTTATTCGGCGTCTCAGCGAAGCACTTGAGCGAGCTAGTTTCCACCACGGTCTCCGCGAACGCGACCACCGGGTCGGCCACCTTGATGTCAATCTCTGAGTACATGCGACGGAGATCGTGCATCGCGCAATCCAGATAGAGTTCGCCCGTTCCCAGCACAACGTGCTCGCCGCTTTCTTCTACGCGCGTCCCCAACAGGGGGTAGCTCTTATTTACTTTCCTCAGTCCGTCCAACATTTTTGGCAACTCAGACGGATTAACTGGCTCGACGGCGATCTTAATGACACTCTGCGTGTTGAATTTGAGCGGTCGGAAAATGTGCAAATCCTCAGAATTGTCGAGGTCCGTGATGGTGCTGGTCTTCACGATAGGTCTGTCGATACCTTCAATCAGCACCCAATTACCCGCGGGCACTCGACTGAGCTCGATCGAGTAACGCGCCTCGCTGATCCACAACCTGCCCACGGTGAGGACCCGCGAGTCCTCTTCGTCTGTGCGCGAATACGCTTCTCCCAGCACACGGACTCGTTGTCCCGCTTCCAGCGTGCCAGACATCACTCTGCCGAGCACAACGAATAGTGTGCAATCCTCGGTAGGGTACATCTTTGTACTGTGTATCATTAATCTTCCCTGAAAAATTATGTTATCTTTAACTACGTCTGTGAAATTTATTTTATTATACACAAAGAAAAATATCATTCTACTATTAAGAAAGACGATTATTTTGTTTACTTTCCTTTTTTAAATAATGATTCTTTAAGTACAAATTTAAATCTTTAACAAAGAACATTTTCTTGATAATATAATCTTAGAATATATTCATCATTAATTTTAGAAAAGTTTATTATTATGTACTCAAGAAAGAAAACTATGTAGTAAGCAAACTGAGTTTTTTATTTTAATTTAATATTCTTGATTGAAATATTGAACTTGATAGAATTCAGGATATATTTTGAATGAATATGATATTTATGATAAAAATTTATGATAGATATGTGGATACATAAACTTACTATGTAAAATACAAGAAACAAGCAACATTTACCAGAATAAAGTATCTATTTTTCTGTACATCTGACGACTGTCTTTACTGACTACTACGACGATTTTCTGTACTTCTGTACGACTGACGATCAGCAAGACTATATTATTTAAATAAATTGATCCATATTCTGAACTCTTTTTATCGCTAAAGATATATCTAAAAAAGGCTTATAAACTTTCTGACTGGCTATAAGCCACTTTTAGAGTCGCTTTTAATGACAAAAGAGAATTCAGAATATGGAGAATTCAGAATGGCATCTCAAGTAAAGGTACTCACATCTGGGTCGCAATTAACCATGTCCTGCGCGAGTGGCGAGTCTATGGAACCGGTATAGACGTGCTGCACTTTAGTGGGTGCGTGCGCTTGAGGACTAGGTACGTGAGTGACGCACATGTCGACTAGTCCGCACATATCTCCCAAGAATCGCGTACAAACGAGTCTCAGCAGCGGCCGTATGTTCATTTTCATCTCCTCGGATGTCAATCGTATGCCCAGCTCGTCCAGAACTGTAAAAAAACAGAAATGTCTCTTGCGACGACTGCAAGTAGTGGCAAATGAGAAAAAGATAAGTAAAGAAAAGAAAGGAATTTACCATCGGGTAATGTCGTGTCTACGTCGCCGACGACTTGCGCGAATATCTTGTACAGAGGCTCTAAGATAAACTCGATGAAGCTTCGCTGTGCCGTGTTATGCGGCGGTTTTTTGGTGAACTTGCGCGTTTTGGGATTGAAGTAGATATCGCCCCAGAGTCGTTTAGCGAACTCGTTGGCGTTGAGTCCAAAATGGTTCCTGGCGTAGAGGGCGGCAAACGATTTCAAGGTAAAACACACGTTGTACTCCGAGCTAGCAAAGCACACGTTACCTACGGCCGGCGACACAAAAGTGGGATTATCGTTGTCGGAGTACAACGCTATCAAACCATTGATCTCCTCGATGATATGCCGCAGTTTATAATAGGCGTCCAACGGCGGTAGCTTCAGCTCCAGCACAAGACGGTCTATTTTGTTGATGCAGACCGTCAGGGCGAGTCTCTCTTGAAGTGCGTGCTTCAGCAGGCGTTCGGTGTTGAGCATCACACCCTCCGCTGCGTCGACGATCAGTATCGCGCCGTCCGATAACCGGATTGCCGCCGTCGCCTCGTCGGAGAAATTCACATGACCCGGCGTGTCGAATATGTTCAAGAGATACGACTTGGATTTCACGTCTTGCAGCAAGAGCGTGACGGGAGTAGCTTTCGTGGAGACACCTCTTTGTTGCTCCGTAAATAAGGTATCAGTATACCTGATGAATAAATACAGATCAATACATGCACCATTGTGATTCATTTGATAAATATAAGTTATATTGTTACATGTTTCTGTCAATACCTTAGTGGCTTCTCATCGGTTACATTGTGTAAGTAAGGATGTGTTTGTCGCACCAAACAATCAACCAAAGTGGTCTTGCCATGATGAAGGTGTCCCAATAGCACTACATTTCTAATTAAATGCGGTGCATCCATCATATCTGCTAAGAATTCAATGCTATATGTTGTTTCTGGGAGTTGTTGTTGTTTGATTTGAAACTTCGGTTTCCTGGTAGGGGCTATCAGTGGTTTATCCAATGGCTGGGCATCCTCTTCTTGCACAAGCGTCTCTACCTGAAAGTATTCATTTAAAATCATATGATTGTTGTGAATAACAAAATTGCTTTTACAAGTAAAGACTTTGTACAGATTTCATATTCTAAAAAATGAAAAAAGAAGAGAAATAATTATTACCTCAGGTCCATACACTTCCAATGCACTGGGATAATATCGTTTATCTTCATGCAATACAACTGCCATAGAAGAACCTTGTTCTGTGTTCTCTCGAGACTCATCTTTGTCTTCTTCCATATCTTCATCTGACCGTTCTCTGTCCTCAGTATCATCGCCAACATTGCCGTATTCATTTTCGTCCTCGCTCTCTGACGCCAAATCAGGACCAATATAATTTCCAAATTCATCATATAGATCAGCATCCATTGTAAAATATTTGTAGAACTTTAGTTTCTAAAGTTTATTCTAAGAATAGTGCTTCCTGCAACTTTATTAAATGTTTTTTATATTATTATTTTGTTGTTTCAATTTTTACGCTCATTGAAAATGAATAAACAATTTTTATCTCATGCATTTTTATACGTACGAGATGTTATAAATATAACCTTAAAATCTTATTTCACAAATAATAATCTTGTATATCTGATATAAAAATAATCTGCTTTCTGATAAAAAAATATATAATAAAAAATAAAGTAAAATAAATAATATAACTAACACTTACTTATTAACAATTAACACGTTCCGGTTTTTATATTACCGGTAAGTCGTATTGTCGAAATAGAGCTATATCTAAAGCCCGTATCAGACTACCGACTGCACAGGCCGACCCGACTGCCGACTCTCAATGGACTAATCACAGTGATGGATTCTGCACACAGGACGCGGTAATGCTTGCCGCGCGGCGAAAGTTCGTGCGACAGCCAATCAATATGCTGCTTTTTGTAATAACCTTCTAGCTCTTACGGAAAAACAACATATTGATTGGCTGTCGCGCGGACTTCCGCCGCGCGGCAAGCATTACCGCGTCCTGTGTGCAGGAGCTATGAAGCGCCGAGTCAGCGCCTCACTGTGATTAGTCCATTGGTCCAGTCGGCAGTCGTAGTCGGCAGTCGGGTGCAGTCGGTAGTCTGATACGGGCTTAAGGCTGCGTTCCTTTTGAGCGCTCACGCGCTTTAAGCGCTTATAATTGCGTGTTCGGGTGTATATCAGTTGGACACGGGACAATTGGACACAGTTCAATCACAAGTCGCTGTTTCAAGGGACCCTACAAATGTCTCTAATCACACGGTGCTGTGATTGGCTGTGTTCAAATGCACCGTGTCCAAGTGCACCGCTCCCAGCGTGTTCGGGTGTATATCAGTTGGACACGGGGCAATTGGACACAGTCCAATCACAAGTCGCTGTTCCAAGGGACCCTACAAATGTCTCTAATCATACGGTGTTGTGATTGGCTGTGTCCAAATGCACCGTGTCCAAGTGCACCCGCGTGTTCGACTGGCCCTGGGTTAATTGCTCCGAGAGCGATTAATGACGTCATAAATCTTTACTAGCCAATCATAAAGCTTATAAGTACTTGTTTGACCAATAAACGTAAAGGCCAAATCACACTAGCGATTGGCGATTGACTATTGACAATTAAAGATTAGATTTTAACGAATCAACAAGCTTCATCTTTGGCTTGCTTTGTTTCAATTGGTCAAGTTCCAATCTTCAATTATCAATCATCTATCGTCAATCGTTAGTGTGATTTGGCCTTAAAGGTCAAATTTTTTCTGAATTGCTGATAACTGTCTCGAAATTTAACTGACAGTTTAGTATGCAATCAAAAGCGTTTTTTTGATTCGTGACCACGGTAGTGTTTGGTTGGTTAGTTTGGTCCACTTAACGTTTGCAACAACGCGAGCGTCATTGGGTGCGTTCAGAAGACACAACTGTTGAGTAATTAGTCAACTTGCACAATAGTTGAGTAATTAGTCAACGTAATTGGTTTAAAGTTAGGGATCTAACAGCAAGGACCAATAATCACTGACCGCTCACTGATCAGCTATGTTTTCTGAACGCAGCCATTCTATCTTTGTTGCTAGAGGCGTTGAGAGCCTTAAGTGGGCCAACTAACCAACCAAACGCTACCGTGATCACAAAACAAAAAAACACCTCAAATTAATCTTGCGTTTCAGTAACAACTCACTATTACTATGCATGTTACTACGCATATGCTCAACGCTTGACGCTCGACGCTCCTATGTAAAAGCACCTTTATGGAGGATTCACACCGCGTCCAATGTCCGACGTACGACTCCGATATCAAATAAGAGAACAGTTTTCCAATGGAGAATTGAATTTTCTATTAGAAAGCTGTTCTCCCACTGGATATCGGAAGTCGTACATCGGATATTGGACGCGGTGTGAATTCTGCATTATGAACCGTGCTAGGGACAAGTTCTAGGTACTTTCTATCCGCAGATACCCTATGCTGTGTTCGAAAACACACACTAGGGCTCGATTCTCTAACTAGTTGCGTATACGTAAGTTTTATTGCGCAGATTTAATCATACCATAAAATAGCTGCGCAGTAAAACTTACGTATACGCAACTAGTTAGAGAATCGAGCCCCTGGGTGCTTTCCAATTGCAATATCCCTAGACACTTTCGTGCACACGGCGACACAAGTTGCATTCCAATTGTCGTAATCGTTGACACAACACTACAATCCGTATTTAGCTCGAGGGCTACTAGTCGGCTGTATAAATTAATGTTTTTTATTGACAATTAAAGTTAATAAGCGTAGCGGCTTGAAAAGAGACTGGCATTTGCGACGTGAAGTGAATAATATCTTTTTTATTATTTAGATTTTATTATTTATTATTAAAAAATACCAAAATATAAGCATTGAAAAATAATCCTAACCCTACCCGACATACGTACACTCGTGGTTTAAAAGGTTTGTGCACCGATTTTTTGTAGATTTCGGAACGCGTACTAGTATACGTAAGTTTGACCGCGTAGGTTTAATCATACCATAAAATAGCTGCGTAATAAAACTTACGTATACGCAACTAGTTAGAGAATCGAGTTCCTACTTCTCTACCGATGGATAATTAGGGCGTTTTGGATTGGTTGAAGTCCAATAATTCAAAGGAGCTTTCCTTTAATTAATTTTATTTGTCCTCGTCTGGTATTCTGGTTTAAGAACCTTAATTAGTATAAAAGTGCTAATTCTAAACCCTTGACAACGGTTCGGAACAGAAGAACCCATTTAATCCAGCGCAGACGCATTTTAAAATGCTCTACTTGGGTATAGAGTATACAGAGCATACAAGTTTGGAAGCTAGAAAACACTCGGAAGCGTCCTATGAAAGACGTTGGTAGTATGAAATTGTTGTTGGTTGTATAGGATATGGCAGTCGTGTTGTCTTCTCGCTTGCTTTTCCTCCATAGGTAGTACCATACACTCACGAGTAGAACTAACGGTAATAGGACCGGAACAGTAATACAACTAATATTATTAGAATAAAGAACAAACAGTCCAGATTGCTCATGGAGGCTTCTTCCAGCCCACTTTCGTTTTCTAATCTCGTCATTCTTATGGCTTTCGGTTGCGATGCGTCCACTGTCTGTTAACTTGAGAACACGGCCAGTCCCGGCTGAATACCGACGCTCAATCGATGTTCGCTCGACGCTCGCTCACTCGATGTTATCCCTCAGGACGACGATGGGACGGCGACAAATTCGTCACCGTTGCGCTATCCAACGCGTGCTCACCAGAGATGAGTAATGGAATGAAACTCGCGATTCTTCACTGAGCACCAGGGTTGGGTACGTATAAGGCCCTTGCAGAATGCCAGGCTACAGACAATAGAAATAGGCATTAGCCAATGGGAACAGGGAATAGAAATAATTGACCAATCCGAATTCCTATTCCCTGTTCCTATTGCCTGTTGCCTGGCATTCTACAAGGGCCCTAATGGCTCCTGCACACAGGACGTGGTAATGTTTGTCGCGCAACAGCCAATCAATATGCTGTTTTCCCTAATAACCTTCTAGCTCTTACAGAAAAGTAACATATTGATTGGCTGTCGCGCGGACTTCCGTTGCGCGGCAAGCATTACCGCGTCCTGTGTGCAGAAGCCATTATACGTACCCAACCCTGGGGGTCGATTGTGTATCTCAAAACAGAGTGAAAATGACAAAAGTGAGCAAATTTACTAGAATATTTATAACTTCGTTGGTCAATGTCTAGTGAATTTGCTCACTTCTGTAATTTTCATTTTGTTTCGAGATACACAATCGACCCCCTGGTGCCCAGTGAAGAATCGCGAGTTTTCACGTACGATCACGCATCACGATGAGCACGCGCGTGCGACACGGATACGCCGACGGCGAAGTGCAGATATATTTTAAAACTCTATTAGGATGCGTTCCCATTTAGCGCATCACGCGCGCGTCGTCCGAGTTAAGCCAATCAAATCGTCCCATTTTATTCGGCGTAAAGTACGCAATAAAATGGGACGATTTGATTGGCTTAACTCGGACGACGCGACGCGTGACACGCTAAGTGGGAACGCACCCTTACAAGACGTTATTTCGGGAATCTATTCAAGGATTTCTATCCACTACTGTCTTCTGCACACAGGACGCGGTAATGCTTGCCGCGCGGCGGAAGTTCACGCGACAGCCAATCAATATGCTGCTTTCCGTAATAACTTTTTAACTCTTACGGAAAAACAACATATTGGTTGCGCGGACTTCCGTCGCGCCGCAAGCATTACCGCGTCCTGTGTGCAGGAGCTATACGAGTCGCCACCGTCCTCAGAGAGGAATCGAGCATGTAGTATGACTCAACGGTAGGTCAGACAAATTTTTATTTTCGGTAATAAAATCGTACAAAAAGCCGAATAAGTAATTTTGTACTTATTATATTACTTTAAATTGATATTTAAAACACTTTACGTTAGTGTCTCAACAGAGTCAGTATTTTACTATCTCCATATTTTATATCTTTTCTCCGTTATTAATATCGCTTCGTTGCAACGTATTACGGCATTATTTTAATCGACGCACGTATACATTGTTGTGTGCGAGCAGTTGTAAAAATATACGTGTACATACACGTACTCACACATCGCACGAGCGTGCGGAACATTACCCACACATATACTTGCGTGCATATTGCGCACGGTACGCGGATTGACAGCTGCCAGCACGAGAAGCAGAAGTGGCGGATCATGTAAGGTGAGTAACTCGTCAATATAGGGATTGCTCGTTGCGTAAAACAATTAATTGCAGCCTCGCGCCGTCATTGTCGCAAACGTAGAACAATCGTAAAACGATGAGCATTTCGACGCTAGCGGAAGTTCGCTCTCGTGCTGTCGCACGCGTGATCGACACACCCGCTAGATCGACGATGCTGTTCCATCATGATTTCGTGTCCGCGCGATTCTTCATATTTAAACAATATTTCTCGCATCACATCGATAGCTTTTGCATATTTTTACCGAAAACATTCGCGCGAATTCTTAAAGGATTCCGTATGAATGTCACAGGATATTCATCGTGTCAACGAAACAACTTGCCATCCCAGGTGCGGTTACACTGCCAAGGATACACTAGACAGTTGGCAGAATAGGTAGACGCAGGAACAGTGCTGAGAGAAGGAGTGGGCGACCCAAAGGCGTAATGACACGTCCTCCCAACAATGACAATCTTATGACCTTTAAGTTGGTCGTCGTTGGAGATGGAGGAGTCGGCAAGAGTGCCCTTACTATACAGTTCTTTCAGAAACTGTTTGTCGCAGACTATGATCCGACCATTGAGGATAGTTATATTCAACACACGGAAGTGGATGAGCAGTGGTGCATCTTGGATGGTAAATCTACTTTTCTCTGTTGAGTTACTCTTTAAATTTCTTGGAGAACAATTTCACTCAAAACAAGCAAACATTCAGTTGGAGCGATAGTAAAATAGGAAAAAAAGAATAGATGTTTAACTTTAACTTAAGGAATCTATTCACCTGAATCAGAGTGCTTGAAATTATACAAAAGTTTAACATAACATTTATCACAATAAAACATAGTTGTTAAAGTGTTATGTGACTTGTCTGTTCATGAGACATTTAACACTATCTCAATTTTACACAATTTATTAAATTTTATGTAACTTTATGGTAGCAACGATATAGATGGTCACTATTTTAGTGTCACTTTGTAAAAAATGATACTATCCAAATAAAAAAGCTTATTGTTATAAATGTTATATATTAGGAAAGCAGAAGAAGAAAATAATATTCATTACACTGTTTTTAGGTAATGATCGATTGTAAACTAGAATATTGTTGTTTTATGTTTTGAGTAGTATTGAGTGAAAGATAGAGTATTATGAAAGTAACTTCAAATTAACATTTATTATTTAGATGGTAAAATAAATATATGAAAACGTAATTTTGTTCAATGAATAGTGAACTTACGAGTTTCCTTTGATATGCTACTAAAAATACATCTCCTGGGTGCTCTGAAAATATGCACCTGGTGAATAAACTCCTTAGTTCCAAGAAGAATGAATATTTAACTGCATCTTGGAAGGTATTCTTAATCTATAGAAAAATTAATGTTCCAATCAATTAGAATATATGTAAGATCCTGTACAGAATACAGCCAGATTTATTCTATATAAAAAAAAGAATCCTTGCAATTAGAGTAAGTTTGCCGTTACTCTGTTTTTTAGTAAAATTTAACTCCAAGAAATTTAGAGAGTAATAGAAATTCTTATCAATCAGTCTTTTGCTTCAAATTGCACTCATTGTTTCTCTACATTCATGTTTCCGCAGTGTTGGATACTGCTGGCCAAGAGGAATTTAGTGCCATGCGCGAACAGTACATGCGGAAAGGCGACGGATTCCTTTTGGTATATTCAGTGACTGACAAACAGTCGTATCAAAATATCGTCAATTTTTATACTCAAATCCTGCGGGTGAAGGACAGGGACGTATATCCCATGCTCTTGGTCGCCAACAAAGTCGACCTGGTGCACTTGAGGAAAGTCACAGAAGAACAAGGGAGAGAATTGGCTCATCGTTTGGGCATATCTTATATCGAAACCTCTGCCAAAGATCCACCACTGAACGTGGACGCCGCGTTTCACGAGGTGAGAAATGACAAACGGCGAATCTGTTATCGACGCCTCACGCCGCGTTACTCCCGTTGTTCGATTGACACGGTGTTTCGCGCTGTCTGTTCCAGGTTGTTCGCATTATCAGGAACCAACCGCCAAATGAATTGGAGAAGAATCAAAGGAAACGACGGCGCTCGAGAAAGTGCAATATTTTGTAAGTCCCGCGGAAGAACGGAAGACATACGTGTAACTCACATGCAAGAATCAAGGGCAACGGTGTTACCGAGTTGTAGTCGCGCGACGTCTCTGCTACTTTCTCGAGAATACGTCCTTGTCGCATCGTTAAATTCGGGAGGTCCTTGGGAAAGAAATGATTCTGCTCTCCTCCAGTATATATAGGTATCTATGACTGTTTTTTTACCTTCCGTTCCTTGTTACTGCGGTAGTACCATGACGAGTATTACTATGGAGCATCCTTTTCCGTATTCCGCGAACGTAATATATCTATGGAAAATAGACACCATAGAAGGCGTGCCAATGCAAAGAAAGGACAAAGAAAAATAAAGGAATACTGGGAAAGTTACGATGTCTGTAACCGCGAAAATGAATTTAGATTTCTTCTTTTGGTCTGACTTTCCGGTTTTAATTTAATCGGTAGTTGGAAAACAAAGAAAAAGAGAAAAGAAGGAAATAAGTTAGAGACATTGACTGTTCACTCTCTCGCCTGATAAATCGAGACCACGTCTCTAGCCACGCGTACACATCAATTTTCTACCATCGAAAAAAAAAAAATATGGAATTGAGCGTTTTTTATTGGACGACGCATAATATATTAGGGGAGTTTTTTACTTCTCCGCGAGATCTCTTTGTCATGAAATGACTATAATGGTTTCGTATATCGGAAACTCACCTTATATCGAGCTCACTTTTCACGTAGCCGTTTGTATAGCTTTAAGCGTGTTTATTTCGTCACGTCAGTGGGGCTTTTCCGTTCCTTTGTATAGTCGGGATGTTCCCTCGCCACACACACACGATTTATCACATTTTTCTAAGATCGAGCACATTAAATGTGTGTCCTCTCGTGACTCGAGTCCTCCCGTTTTTCTACGCTAGAGATATTTAGGAGAAGCGCGATATTGCATTACAAATTGTTTGCGTAAAATCGATAGAAACGGAATAGCATATTGTGCGCATTGTTTCACTTTTTACGCGACAACACAAAGTAACGAAACTACAGAAAGCGAGAAGAAGAATAAGAAGAACTCGAAGTCTATACGACCGTTATATTATAGAGTATCTTTAAGCGCGATAGAAAACGCGGAATGAAATTATGAAATAATTTCCGATTATATAGTCTGATTATGCTCGCGGATTTTTTATCAACGACTATTATATGCTATTAGTTAGTATCGTTAATATTTCGTCTGACGGTTTAAATGCTTTAACGTTAACGAAGGAGATCTTCAGTTTCATCATCGACGAAGGTAGGGCAAACCGGGGCTATTTCGCCATCGGGATGAGTTGGCAAAATCGATTATTTCTACTGTTCTTTAATAGATTTCAAAATCAAATAAACAGAGATTTCAGAATCATCTTTGACATGTTTAACCAGTTAGTTGTGTATGACGAATATACTCGTCATGCGTAAAAAGTTCTTATCATTTGCTGTTTAAATTAAAATTTTAGCGAAAACTAAAGATTAGTACATTTCAAGAATTTTAAAATATTTACAACACAATTTAGGTACACACTTTTAAAAGAGAGCAACACAGCTAACTGGTTAAAAATCTTGTTTGCTTAATTTTGTAACTTGTTAGAAAATATTAGAAAGAACCGAGTTTGCCAACTTACCCCAGTAGCCAATTAGTCCCGATCTACTTTCCACTAGCTGTTGGGTGCCTGATGCACCAATGAACTATTGGGTTGATCCATAAGTTCGTGCGTTTTTTTAAACGGAACTAGAACACCACATAGCGCGCGCTTCGCGCGTGCCACTTTAGCCTTTTTGTTGTACTATTTACAATTTATATTACAATACTCGTTTTTACAAATTATATTCCCAGCTAACACAATGTTACATATAACATACATGTTAGTTGTAATTTCCTATTACAATAAATATCAAATTTATATGACGCGAACAACACAACCTGATCTGTCACCGCGGCTGACAGCTGCAAGCGGCACGAATTCAACTGCGACGGGATCGAGACAATCGAGACGGTCGAGACGGCCAATTAGCGTCGCGGAAAAGAGGCTTCACCCACTTCGATATATTCGAGATTTAGTTAACACGCACTTTTTCTGATAGGATTGAAATGCGTTTTATTCTTGTTAAAAAAAAAGACAACTTCAATCAATAATATATGTGGCATTCTGTCCGATAATCTCTTGCCATCTTTCGCGTAATTTCATAATTCCACTCGCATAAACTTCTTGTGCTTTTCCGGCGAGGAAACGTTCCAAGTGATTTTTCACATCTTCTAGAGAAGCGAAGTTTATAATGAGGGAGTACTGTAATGAACGAAACAGATGAGGCAACCGGAGGAGGCAATGTCGGGCGAATATAGTGGGCGAGGCAAAACATCCCAGCCGAACTCTAACAATTTTTACGGAAGCAAAAAAGCACAATGCACCGGGAAACTCATTACTGCCTTCCATTTTCAAGCCGCAACAAAGGCAACCGTACTTCTTTAAACGCAATCGTTTATACCATAAAATGTGTATCCGAAATGTCAGTTACCAAAGCATATGCATAGATGGCCAATTATACACTAACTATCCTTTTGGTATGAATATGCGAATGCTAACTAGACAAAAATCCGTACGAACCGACGCATCAACCCGATACATTCGACGAATTCGTATCCGGGAAAATAAAATGATCGAAAAACGGGGCAATATATCGCCTTTGCTACCAGTTATTTACTTTTGTATACATAGAGGTCTGGTGTAGGAAACATACGTATCACGTTGATAGGCTGTCTTCGGTTTATAACGAAGACAAAAATAAGCAACGTGAACACGCGACTGCATGTTTTCGTGACCGTCGTCAATTTTGCATTAAGGGACACTTTGTATTAAGTATATAATTTTTTTTTTCGTTCGTTGTTGTTATTTATTAGGATAATTCTGATGCCAAATAATTGATGGCAGTTTATCAAATATATGAACTTGCGTCAGAAGCTTCCGTACTTGCTCAGTCAGAGAAATAAATTGAATTAATTTTTTATTAAATTCCAGTTATTTCTTTACTCACATTGTGAGAGATCGAGAACACTAAGAAGTATTATATCCGATCTATATGTTGATTTGTTATTGCTATTTGGCATTGAGTTGTTTATTTACATATATATATATATATATATATATATATGTATGTATCTTTCATCATAAACAGTATCAGAAATGATACGTTTTTATTTTTAATACCTCTCTAATGCCAATTTAATATATGGATTTTGTGGAGGTTGCGTTGCTTAAGTTCAGATCTTAGGTAATCGCTCGCAGGAGGAGGAAGGTGTACGCAGTGAATACGATGGAAGTTAACATACAAATATGAATTCTTTATTCTCCCTACATGCTTCTTGTGTGTATGTCAGTATGTATAAGTTCTTCGCGGCGAGCGGCTGCAATCGACGAGTATTTCTCGCAGCGTCAGCTCTCGTGACGAGCGGCTGAGGTGGACGGAGGTACTCGGCCGCGTCGGCTTCCGTGGCGAACGGCTGCTAACGGCGAAAGTCCTTGGTGATGTCTGCGTTGCCTTGTCGGCGGTCACAAGGGCTCGTCGTGGCGAGAGCGGACGCCTCGGCCGGACGTCCCAGATGGCGAGCAGCTCCAGAGGTGGCCGAGTTCGCTTTATCAGCGCTTAGTCGATAGCGTGGAGTATCCAGGGCCATAGAGATACCGTAGAGCGCACGGCAAAGTCCGTGGACTGGACTCCGAGAGCGAAGTCGCTTCGGAAGGCAGGCTTTGATACGAAGAACTGGGAACCTCGGCGCCTCCATGCCGTCCGGAGACTGAGGAAGCTCGGTGACAGCGGCTGTCCCATGAGGTCGCTTGCGAGGTGAAGGCATCTAGGGCAGTGTAGTGTGCATCAGTGACCGCTTCCGCGGAGACGATTCTCTGGCTGTCTGTCGGCGATCGGCAGTGGAGGGTCGCTTCCTCGATATCTTCGTCGGCGAAGGAGTCGGTGGAACTGACGACCACGAGGAGCGATCCGGGCTCGTCGCCTACCCGCGTCTCCACGAAGTCATCGTCGCTATCGGGACCAAACAGGTCCAGCAGCCGGATACGGAGTCGTTGCCGTCGTCGTTCCTGGGCCTCGCTTTGAGGCCGGCGTTGGTGCGGCTTCAGGTTGTCACTGTGATCGTACGGCTATGCTGCTAACAGCCCCCCGCAAGGAGCGTCGTCTCGTACTCCTGATGACGGAGTTTGTACTCCTCGCTGGTGGCGTCTCCTGTCACTTTCGTAAGGCTCGCTTCAGGGAGATGTGTCGTCGTCGGATAACGGAAGCGAATTAAAAGTCCATTCACCGTGCTCCCTATTTATAGGAGAGTTCTTTCCATGTGTTACGTGTGGGTGAGCTTCATTTCCTCGAAAAGTCGCGAGGCTCGCGCTTCCCCGAATTTCACCGTGCGGCTCGCGCTTCTCGGAAACGCAGCGTTCCTCCGCTGTAAGGTGCGCTCCATATGAGGCATTTCCCGTAATTTTAAATGCACCTCGCGTGACGTTTCGCTTGCTGAGACGCCACATCACCCCCTTCGTTGTGTAAAGGCTGGGATTTTTAATCGTACTGGAGGCTTCGAAGTTCTTCCGCTTCTTGTCTTGGTTGGTGTCTCTTCTGAATCGTCTCGCAAGTCCTTCGGTTGTTGTGTCAGCATCGCTGACGCCTCTGGAACTCTTGTTTCTTCCGTTAAAATATATGCCGGTTTTAGACGGTCAATCGAGATGTTGTTCGTTTTTGGTCCTATCCTAAGTTTAAAAAACTTTGGATTTCTCTGCACGACTTCATAAGGACCGTCGCATGTGGGCTGTAATGCTCGTGTCGGAGCATCGTGTCTTATGAATACGTGAGTCGTTTCGTTAATGTTTTTGTATTCAAAAACGGCCCGATGGCCATGTCGTCGTACTGCTTGCGGTTCCAGTTTTGGTATGTGACGTCTGAGGTCCTGAATGAACGCGCTGGAATCGTTTTTCTCCGCCGGTGATTCTTGTAGAAATTCCCCCGGCAGTCGAATTAGTTCTCCATAGACCATTTCTGCTGGCGATGCCTGTAAGTTCTTCTTGAGAGCGGCGCGTATGCCCAGCATGATGACGGATAGGATGTTTGCGTAGTTTTGCGTTTGATGACAGACAATTGCGGCTTTTAATTGTCTGTGAAACCTCTCAATCATGCCGTTCGCTTCCGGGTGGTAGGCCGTTGTGCGCCAGTGCGTTGCGCCCATTAGCTTCGCTAGTTGCTGGAACAATTCGACTTCGAATTGACGACCTTGATCTGTCGTGATTCGGGAAGGCGTCCCGAATCTTGTCACCCAGTTGGTAAACAGACATTGGGCGACTGTTTCCGCTGTGATATCTGCTATGGGGAATGCTTCTGGTCATCTCGTGAAGCGATCTATGATCATGAGGCAGTATCATTACTCCCTTGAGATTGGTAGAGGCCCCACGATGTCAATGTGGATGTCGATATACTACTGTGTCCAAAAAGTAAGACCAATTTAAAATTTTTTTTTTAAATCTTTATTCCAAATCTATTTCGTCGCCTTCAAAGTAATCCCCCTCAGACACAATACACTTATGCCAATATTTTTTCCAACCCTCGAAACAGTTGTTAAAATCGATTTCCGGAATGGTCTTCAAAACTTTCTTCGATTCAGCTTGTATCTCTTCAATTGAGTCAAAACGGTGTCTCCGGAACGGTCTTTTGAGTTTAGGGAATAGCCAGAAGTCACACGGTGCTAAATCAGGTGAATATGGTGGTTGTGGAACGATATGGGTCGAATTTTTAGCGAAATGGTCTCGAAGAACCAATGCAGTGTGAGATGGCGCATTATCGTGGTGCAAAAACCAAGAGTTGTCTTTCCACAATTCCGGCCTCTTTTTACGAATAGCTTCACGCAAACGACACATAATTTGACACAGATGTTTGTCACAGTGCTACCAATTTAGAAAAATATTTCTGACATTCGATATACCCGCGCAATTTAACTTGAAAATTGGTCTTACTTTCTGGACACAGTAGTACGCGCAGCAAAACTCTAGGCCGCGGAGCACCTCGTTAATAAACCGCTGGAACATTTCTGCTGCGTTGCACAGTCCGAATGGCATGTACAAAAATTCGAAGAGTCCGAACGGCGTTGTAAGCGCGGTCTTCAGAACGTCTTCTGCATGTACGGGGATCTGATTGTACGCCCGCACCAGATCCAGCGTCGAAAAGATTTTCTTTCCGTGTAGAGTTTGTGAAAAATCTTCGATATGGGGGATTGAATATCGGTCGTGTATTGTGTGTGCGTTTAACCTTCGATAATCCCCGCACGGGCGCCATGCGTCGTCCTTCACCATGTGAAGCGGAGACGCCCAAGGACTCTTCGACGGCCGGATGATGCCTTCGCGTAGCATGAGGTCGAACTCAGCTTTAGCTGCCATTAAAGCTGCATGGCTTGACATTTATTAGCGTCGCTGCCGAAGCGTTGGTGGTAGAAGCATAGCTGCTTGTCTTCTTGTTCTCGCGACCTGCTCCTTGCCTGCTTATTTCGTTGCGGCGGATGTTGCGTACTCAATTCCGCAACTTGTCGTGAAAGCTGCTGAATTTACTCCAGTAGGTTTGCGATATCCTTTCCGGGAGGCGCGACCCCTGCTACCGTCCTGCCGGTGACCTCTTGAATTCGGTCGGCTTCTTCGGCGACCTCTTCGAGTCGGTCTTGGGCTCGCGTCGCAAGGATGACTTGCATCTGTGACGGCAGTCTCCCGAGCCAGAGCGTGCGAAATAATTGCACGACGGTGTCCGCAAATGTGCGACGCAGGAACTGAGACTGTTTGCGATCTCCAAGCTTCTTGTGCTCTAACAATTGGCGTGTGCGCTGTTCCTACGATGCGGATAATCGCTCGATTAGCGCATTCTTAATCGCCGTGTATTTGTCGTTCGTGAAAGGATTGGTGATTATGTTCTTCATCTCCCATGCATAGCGAGTTTCTAGCTGAGCGACAACGTGAGCATATTTAGTGTCGTCCTGTGTTATGCCGCCGAGAAGGAACTGTCTTTCGAGCTGAGCGAACCGAGCTCCGGTTCCTCGGGCCAGAACGGTAGAGCTCGTATAGCGATTTTATTAATGTGTTCGCCTTGTCGTGTGGTGACTCGTTGAAGCGCCTTGATGGTCGTTCATGTTTGCGGCGCGAGATACTTCTCCTTCTCTGCGAGTCGGCGAATGCTCGATGGGCATTCTACGATTATCGCTAAGATCACGTCGGGGTCATCAGTTTGTGGAGGTTGCGTCGCTTAAGTTCAGATCTTAGGTAATCGCTCACAGGAGGAGGAAGGTATACGCAGTGAACACGATGGAAGTCAACATACAAATATGAATTCTTTATTCTCCCTACATGCTTCTCGTGTATGTGTGTCAGTGTGTATAAGTTCTTCGCGGCGAGCGGCTGCGATCGACGAGTCTCTCGCAGCGTCAGCTCTCGTGACGAGCGGCTGAGGTGGACGGAGGTCCTCGGCCGCGTCGGCTTCCGTGGCGATCGTCTGATGACGGAGAATCTCGCTAGCCGTGTCGGCTTTCGTGACGAACGGCTGATGATGGAGAATCTCGCTGGCCGTGTCGGCTTTCGTGGCGAACGGCTGCTAACGGTGGAGCTTCCTGGCCGTGTCAGCTTTCGTGGCGAACGGCTGCTAACGGCGGAGGTCCTTGATGACGTCTGCGTCGCCTTGTCGGCGGTCACAAGAGCTCGTCGTGGTGAGAGCGAGTTGCTCGCCTGAGACTCGTGTCGTGGCGAGAGCGGATGCCTCGCCCGGACGTTCCAGGTGGCGAGCAACTCCAGAAGTGGCCGAGTTCGCCTTATCGGCGCCTGGTCGATGGCGTGGAGTATCCAGGGCCGCAGAGATACCATAGAGGACACGGCAAGGCTCTTGGACTCCGAGGGCGAAGTCGCTTTGGAAGGCGGGTTCTGGTACGAAGGACTGGGGGCCACGCTCGGCGCCTCCACGCCGTCCGGAAACTGAGGGAGCTCGGTGACAGCGGCTGCCCCAGGAGGCCGCTTGCGAGGTGAAGGCGTCTAGGGCGGTGTAGTGCGCACCAATGACCGCTTCCGCGGAGACCGATTTTCTGGCTGTCTGTCGGCGATCGGCAGCAGAGGGTCGCTTCCTCGGTGAGGGCGTCCTCGGTATCTTCG